CCCGCAGCATTATTCCACTATTATTACCATTTTCTCCCATTTTTCAAATCTTCTGTGGAATGGCTTTCTTACGAGTATAAATTTTTTAAAAGGCAAAAGTAATAAAACTGCAAGCCACCAGCGAAGGAGATTTATGTCCAGGCACCGAGGCTCCCGGGGGGGAAGGGGGGAGCGGGGGGGGGGGTCCAGGGCAGGGAGGATGGGCGGAGGCGGCGGCGGTCGCCGGCTGCTGTGCAGTCTGAAGGTGTGCGGGGTGTCAGCAGCCCCATAACTCCCAACCCCATTATCTGGAGCCACCCGGGAATATAAATCTGGGGGGTAAGTGGGAAGCCTGAAATAAGGAAAGATGGCAGCACCCGGAAAGGAATACCATTCTTTAAAACGATGACTGTTTATATGCAGGTTAATGCGCTATAAATTCTGAACTCCTATTTTGCCGGCCGCATTTTAGTTCCCTAGCTCAGTTCGTATGGCCTTCCTGCATTTAATTAGCACAAGTGCGAGTCCTATGCTTGGCCGTTAGTGCCCACGCGAGGTCTGCCTCTGCCGCTCTCACAGCTGGCGCCCTGCGCTGCCGCCGCCGCCGGCCCGGCCCGGCCCGGCCCTGGCCAAGAAAGCCGACAGCTACGGCAGCTCACACCGACGCCACCACCACCTCAGCCAGAGCGAGAGCGAGAGCGAGAGCGAGAGCGAGAGCGAGAGCGAGAGCGAGAGCGAGAGCGAGAGCGAGACAAGAAGGGGTCACGCTCCCATAACGCTGTGCTGCAACGCCTGTCGTCCTCACTGAGAAACCCTAACCCCGCGCCCTCCCTCGGCCCCAAACCACCCCCTCTCTACAAGGATCCTGATAAAACTGCGCTCCTGTAGAACCGGACAGGCCGCCTCCCTCCCCGCCGAGCCCCACAGAAATCTGGAGCCATCGGACGGACAGACATGGGCTTCGGATTAACGGCCGATGGAGACGGAGGCCGCAGGGCGCAGGCGGCGAGGGCCTCACCGTGCTGCGGGCGGGACAGGCTGGAGCCACAGCAGGACCAAGCCCAGGTCACCCTCCAGTGCCCAGCGGACAGCCGAGCGGAGCGAGAAGCACGTGTGAACCGAGAGCACTGACTGGAGGAGCCAGGGACAGCGAGCGCGGTGATGCCGACCCAGAAATAACGTGCACGGGGAGCCCTGGCCGTGTGGTTCAGTGGATAGAGCGACGGCTCGGACTGAAGGGTCCCGGGTTCCATTCTGGTCAAAGGCACAGGCCAGGGTTGCAGGCTCTATTCCCAGTAGGGCACATGCAGGGGGCAGCCGATTCATGATTTTCTCACGTAATTGATGTTTCTATCTCTCTCTCCCTCTCCCTGCCTCTCTGAAGCCCATGAGAATATGTTTTTAAAGTAAATAAATAAAGTGCGGTGACACTGACACGGGACCGCAGGCTGCAGCGCGGACCCAGGGCTCAGCCACCAGGGAAGGCCCGGGTCCCGCTGCACTTGGCCTGCTCCCGTCTCCCTGCTGTCCTAGGGAATGATGCAACAAGAGCCAACAGTGTGTCACGTTAGAAACAGGGAAGGAAGACATTAATAAGTATTTCCGACCCACAAAGAGGCCTAAGAAGCAGCAGCACAGGCACAGAAAACACAAAAGAGATGGCAGATGTAAGCCCAGGTAAAGGTCAACACACTAAACGCTCCAGCCAAGAGACAAAAATTGTCGGACTGGTTTTTTCACTCCACCTACAAGCTGTTTGTAAGAGACACAGGAGGGGCAGGTGGACACAGGAAGGTCTGTAACGGGACAGAAGCACGAACAGTGCAGGTGCCTCTCAGGAGAGAACGGTGCGCGGTGCTGCTGCACAACAGACGCCAGAGCAAAACGCCGCGAGGGACACGGCGGGGACCTGGTCCCGGTGCAGACCGCGCTGGCCGGAGGACACACGGCGTCACACGTGCACGCCGCAGTGTCACACGTGCACCGCACAACCACAGCCTCAAAACACAGCACGGCGTGAGGGCAGAGCTGCAAGGAGGATAGGCCCGCATAGTGGTGTGAGGTTATCAAAAGACGGCCCCCTGAGTAATTTCATCAACCAGTGTCACCCCGATAAGTTCAGGCCTGGCCGGTGGCTAGGTTGGTTGGGGCACCAAAAGGTCACCGGTTTGATTGCTGGTCAGGACACATACCTAGGTTAGCCCTGGCCGGTGTTGCTCAGTGGATAAAGCACGCACCTGCGCACCCAGGTTCGATTCCGGTCAAGGGCACACACCTGGGTTGTGGGCTCCATCCCTGGTGTGGGCGTGCAGACGGCAACCAATCAATGATTCTCTCTTATCATTAATGTTTCTATCTCTCCCCCTCTCCCTACCTCTCTGAAATCAATAAAAATATGTAAAAAAAAAAAAATTTAATACACTTAAAAAAAAAAACACCATTTCTAGAGACTAAAAATATAGTCTCTGAAGTAAAACATACAATGAATGGCCTTAACCACCTATTAACCACGCAGGAGAGCAAGCGAGGGAACACGAAGATGGGGCTACAGAACCACGGGACGGAAACAGGCAGGAGGGCTGCGGGGACAGCACCAGCCTCTAGAGCCCTTTGACACGGCTCCTCTTACTGTGGTGCCCCAGCCATAAAACCATTTTGTTGCTACTTCCTAACTGTCATTTTGCTACTGTTATGAATCGTAACGTAAACATCTGTGTTTCCCTATGGTCTTAGGCAACCTTGTCCCGACCCACGACCCACGGGTTGAGAGCCGACCCATGACCCACGGGTTGAGAGCCGCTAGCAGAACAACGGCCACGGGGAGGGAGGCCGGCACGGCTCCGCCTCTTCACCTCCGGCCCCTGAACCTGACTGATCCCGCCCACACCAAAACACAGGCCGTCTGCCGTTCCGGTAAAACGTTAGGTATGATTCTGATTCATTTACAACCAACAGCTATTGTTGTACTGGCTGTTGCCAACAGTTGTAACTGGACAATCTAGGGGAACCGAGGTCAGTGCACCCCAGCCAGTTTTGCCCAGTGGTCATCGGGTGCTGGTCCATGGACAAAGGGTCATGGGTTCAATCTGGTCAAGGGCACATCCTTGGTTGTAGGCTCAACTGCTGGCCACAGCTGGGGCGCATGTGGGAGGCAACCAATCGGTGTGTCTCTCTCACATCGATGTTTCTCTGTATCTCTCTGCCTCCCTTCCACTCTCTCTAAGAACCAATGAGAAAAATGCCCTCTGGTGAGGACTGACAAAAAGAAGAAGAGAAGAAGGAAGGAAGGAAGGGAGGGAGGGAAGAAGGGAGGGAGGGAGGGAGGGAGGAAGGAAGGAAGGAAAGTTAGTGCACCTGACTACCAGTAAATAGTCAGGTTCTGCATGTTTTTTTGGTTTTGTTTGTTTATTGATTTTTTGCAGAGAGGAAGGGAGAAGGACAGAGAGTTAGAAACATCGATGAAAGAGAAACATCGATCAGCTGCCTCCTGCACACTCCCCACTGCGGATGTGCCCGAAACCAATGTACATGCCCTTGACCGGAATCGAACTTGGGACCCTTTAGTCTGCAGACCGACGCTCTATCTGCTGAACCACACCGGTCAGGGCTGTTCCTAACTTTTAAACCCACTGTACGCTATACTAGTAAGCGTCTGTAGACGCAAGCAGTGGACCTTCCCCACATGCCACACACGTCTATTAAAAAAAAAAAAAAAAAAAAGTTTCCCCTAAGTGGCAGCCCTGACCAACTTTATTTTATTTTAATTCTTAAATCAATCTTTATTGTTCATATTATTACAAAGGTTCCTCATTTCTTCCCTCTCCACCAGGTTCCCACCCCACCCTTCTCCCCCTCCCCACTCCCCATTGTCCTCATCCATAGGTGCACAGTTTATGTTCAGTCTCTTCCCGCAGCCACCACTCCTTCTTTCCCCGAGAACTGCCTGACCAACTTTAAAATCCTTTTTTGTGAGAATTTTCAGCTGAAATATTAAAGAACACCCAAATTGTAATATATTTATTTTTATAATATTCATTGCAAATTGATTTTTAAAATTAAATTCCAAATATCGTGGCGTGTGGGGATGGTTTCTGTCTTGCACCGCGGTTAACTAGAATCACGTAACAGTAATCTTATGTATGTCTGACATTGTACACCCCAAACAATAATCTCTATAAGCATATTCATAAGCCCAGAGCGATCACACGGAATTATAGCAGCACCCCTCTTAACCACCGAAACGTTCATGTGAATAAAGACGGTCTTGAAGGAGAGATAAATCACAAAACACAGGTGCTAAGTGTGCACCGTGACACGGTCCTGCCCCTTTGCTCGGGGACCAGGGAGCAGACGGTGGTTAAGGCCAGAGTCAACCAAACTGGCTGTTTTCTTTTCTGCCAGCGGCTTGTGAGTGGCTGTCCACACCCCAACATCCTGGCGACGCCCCTAAAAACCTGGACCGGAGTTCCAACCCATCGTACTCTAACTCCGCTCCTGGAGAAAGTCTGCCTCCAGGTTATAGCGAAGGGACACCCCACAAAAGGAGGAAAGTCAGGGTCCAGACCCACTGTTTCCGTTAGAAGGCTGTGCTGAAGTTCACGGTAACTGCGAAGTAACTTTCTATCCTTTTGTAACCGGCCGAACACCTGCCGGTAACTTTGTTTCCTAGCACACAGCTTAGACGCCGCCTCACTTCCCGGGACGGCCCGCAGGAGCGAACTCCGCAGAGATCACCGCGGGGCGAGCGGAGCAGCGAGGGGTCCGCCCGGGTGCTCAGCACCAAGTTCATCAGCGCGAGCGCAGAGGTGCCTGCCGCGCGGCGCTGGGAAACTGCCTAACTTTTGTGTCTCCATCAGAACGTGGTTGGAGTGGACACTCGGGACTAAAACCAGCCAGCAGCCGGAGTCTGACATGGCTCTGCTTTTCAGTTAACCCGCGCCATGTGGCTGGGGGACAAGGAACAACAAGAAGGCATCGGCGTTCCCAAGGACCCAGACGGAAGGGGCGCGGGGCCCACTTACCCGGTCCTTCATCCTCCAGCTCTGGGCCAAGGACTTGGAGCCCTCGATCTTCTCACAGTGCCGCTTCTTCATGAAGGCCAAGGGCAGGTTCCAGTCCGTCAGGTCGGCCTCGTCCTCCTCCCCGAGCCCCAGCAGAGGCGACTGCAGCAGCTCGGCCTCCATCGGGGCGGGCGGGGGCGGGGGGGTCCGGGGCAGCAGGCGCTCGAGCACCTCCAGCCTTACGGCGTCGTGTGCGCCGCGGCCGGGAGGCCGCAGAGACCGGGGCGGAGGCGGCGGGGGTGGGGGCCGGGACCCTCAGCGGGCCCGGGTCTGCGGAGGCCCAGCTGCCTCCCTCGGGGCGGGACGTGGGGGCGGGAGCCGGGGGACGGGCAGCCCGGCGGGCGCCGCACGGACGCACAGGCCCCCGGGGCCCAGGCCGCGGGCCGAGCTGTCACGGCGGGCGCCACCCGAGGCCTCACGGTGACCCCGCTCCCGGCCTCCGGTCCCGCGGGGCGGAGGGCCCGGCCGCAGGGAAGGGGCCCGGGGCGCTGGGGCTCCGCCGGCCGCGCTCAGCCCTGCGGGTCCCGCAGTCGCCGCAGCTGCTGCGGCCGCAGCCAGGACCGGCCCATCGTGCTCGCCCGCAGCCGCTGCTCACGCCGGGCCCGCGACCTGGCCGGCCTGGCCTCCGCGCCCGCGCCCCTCTCCGGCCCGAGCGCGCGTCCCCGGAGCCCGGCCGGGCGCAGCCGCGCACAAGACGGGTATCGTGGGCTTATGGGGGTGCGGAGGTTTGTCCTCGGGGTTGAAGCTACAGTGAAACTCCTCTCATCAGCACGTCAAGGAGGACGCCATATTGCCGAGACCCAGCATGCACCGCGCCCTACGGTGTGGCCGACGGGCCAAACGACCTCGGAGCGTTCCGGCCGCGCTTCGGGGGGGACGAGGCGAGAGCGGGCCCCGCCCCCACCCCGTCGCCATGGTTACTGCAATTCTGCTTTCCAGGGTTTGTCGCCGCTGTTCTTGGCTGCATGCGATCAAAGACAAGCCTACAAACGAAACTGTGCTAATTGATTTTGAAAAACAATCTTTTCGTGATTACACAGGGACCCGCAGGCCCCTGAGATGAAAGGAATCGACCCCTCTTTCTGTTCTCTCCCAGATTTTGAAAACGCAGCGAAAGCTTCAGAAAGAGCCGAGGATAAGATGGCAGGAGAAGACAGGGGTCTTTTTTATTTATTTATTTATTTATTGCGCCTGTCGTGTTTCTCCCAGCATCCATCAGATTTCCTTTTTTGTTGGCGGAAAAGCAATTTCAGCGGCTGCGATTTTTTGTTTCACCGTCCTCCCTGCTGGCACTTCATTCTGAGGCGTGTGTGTGGGAGCAACGAAGCCTCAGCGCAGTGCGGGAGGCAGGCCGGCGCTGCCTGGTGTCTCTGGTGGCCCCGGCCGGCTCATGGTCCCTGTGCAGGACCTGGGGGATGGGGCCAGCAGCGCTTCCCTATGCGCTGGGGTCCCTGAGGCTCCCGGGAACCTTCCACAGAGCGGCAGGGCGCCCAGACGCTGTCTCCCTCGGTGCCGTCGGGGTTGGTCTCTGCTCACCGGGACCCGCGTCTCAGCCGTCTGGCTTTTCCTCCCAGTGGCCTTAGTGTCCTCCGCTGTAAAGCTGGGGTAGCAGACCCACCCTGGAGGGTAGATTGAACCCCCATGGCGCCCGGGCAGAGTTGGTGCCCCAGGCAGAGTGGGTGCCCCGGGCAGAGTGGGCACCCGGGCAGAGTGGGTGCCCCGGGCAGAGTGGGCACCCGGGCAGAGTGGGTGCCCTGGGCAGAGTGGGCACCCGGGCAGAGTGGGCGCCCCGGGCAACGCCAGCACCCACTGGCACAGAGCCAGCGTGTCATTAACCTGGAGCCTCAGTGTGGCTCGGGCGCCGGCCGCTGGGGTCTGCCTCAAGCTCCGTGTCCCTCAGCACCCGGGGGATGTGCCAGCCCCGCCTCTCACACAGCGCTGTGGTAGTTCTTGTTCAGTCGCTGCCATCCCAGGGCGGGGGGACGGCTGGGTCTAGCAGGGAGGGCAGCCTTGGCGACCAGGCCCGCAGACCTGCGGGGGCCAAAGCAGGGTACCGTTGTGAGCACGCAAGGCCCAGAGTTTAGTCCTGGCAGGTGTGGCTCAGTGGATAGAGCATCGGCCTGTAGGCTAAAGGGTCCTGGGTTCTATTCCGGTCAAGGGCATGTGCCTTGGTTGCAGGCACATCCCCGGTAAGGAGTGTGCAGGAGGCAGCTGGTCGATGTTTCTCTCTCATCGATGTTTCTAGCTCTCTATCCCTCTCCCTTCCTCTCTGTAAAAAATCAATAAAATATATTTTTAAAAATAGGTGAGGTGGAGGGAGGGCGCCTGCTGTCCTGCCTGGCCTCCGCCTCTGATGGGGCTCAGAGGGCGCCGTCAGGAATCTACTCACCCGCGTGGCCCGTGAGCCCCGCCCTCTTCCTGGGAATTAGCTCCTTAATTCTCTTAAGCTCCGGCTCTGCATCCGCTTTGCCAGGAGATTGAGACAGACTGATCGGTGCCCTGCCGGGCCGGGTGGGGCGGGGGGGACCCTGGAGCCCACAGGAGCCGCAGCGTCCCTGAGCCTCGGGGCAGTGGGGGACGCCGACAGTCACATGCTCGCTCTGGGGGGCGGCTGGGACCCGGGCGGGTGCTGACAGCACCGAGGCCCGGTTTCCTGAGTGAAACGGAAACGGTAGGTTCTGCTCCTCAGAGACGCCGTGAGGATGGAGCAAACGAACCAATGCGGCACTGGCACCCTCACACACCGCCACGAGAGCCGGTCCCAGCGGGAACCGAACCCTGACCTCCGGTTCAAAGGTCGATGCTCAACCACGGAGCCGCGTGGCTCGGCCCCATTTTCCTTTTGATGGACAGCTCTCCGGGGAGGCGGGAAAGCGCCCCGGGCCGGCCAGTCACGTCCTCCTTGGAACCGAAGGCTGGAGCACGGCTAGACTGGGGCTGGGGGTGAGGTGTGGGGTTGGGGGGCTGGGGCGAGGCGTGTGGGGCTTGGGAGTTGGGGGGTTGGTGGGAGGCAGGGGGCTGGGGCAGGACAGGGGGGCTGGGGGAGGCAGGGGGCTGGGGCGGGACTGGGGGATGGGGAGGCAGGGGGCTGGGGGGAGGTAGGGGGCTGGGGTGGGACTGGGGAGCTGGGGGAGGCAGGGGGCTGGGGTGGGACTGGGTGACTGGGGGGAGGTAGGGGGCTGGGGCGGGACTGGGGGGCTGGGGTGGGACTGGGGGGCTAGAGGGAGGCAGGGGGCTGGGGTGGGACTGGGGGGCTGGGGGAGGCAGGGGGCTGGGGCGGGACTGGGGGGCTGGGGGAGGCAGGGGGCTGGGGGCGGGGCTCGGGGCTGTGGGAGCAGACGCCCAGCGTGCAGCTCCTGCTGGCTCCGGGCGAGCACAGGCAGAGGACAGACATCCCCGTCTCGCCCTCGGAGATGAATGTCCCGCTCGGAGGGGAGGGCGTGTGGCTGTCGCAGACGCCCAGCTGCCCGGAAGTGTCTGGCTGGCTGTCACGGCGCTCGGTCTGCTGGCGGGCGGATGGATGGGCCGCCCCGAGTCACCCTGCGGCAGTGGCGCCCCGACAGGCAGCCGGGCCAGCGAGCGCCGAGGAGAGGTGCCAGGCAGCTCTGCGGCCTTCCTGCCGTGTGGGCATCACCCCCGCTCTGTCCCCGCCACCCTTCCCCGTTTCTGCCGGAGGAGGCGCCAGGGGGAGTCCGAGCTGGTCCTCGCCCTGAGGAGCTGCGAGGGCCTGTACCCCCTCGGACGTGTCTCCCCGTGTCCTGTTTGGAGTGAGGTTCCATTGCCAGGCATCTCAGTCAGGTTCCCAAAAAGTGTGGGGGGAGCGCTGGGGCGAGCGGGGAGCCCGGCCCTCTCCTTGGAGTCTGGCTGTCCCTTCCGCAGCGCCCCCCAGAGGGACGGTCCCCTGCTCCCCCGAGGGACAGTCCCCCGGTTCCCCTGCTCCCCCAAGAGATGGTCCCCTTGCCCCCGGGGACCAGCACTCCCCTGAGCTGCCCTCTCCCCAGCCCCCGCAGGGCTTTCCTGGCAGCTCGATAGAAGCCGCAGGCTGACGGGATGGAATTGAAATGATCCTACATAACCCTATGTAACCCTATGTAACCCTATGTAACCCTATGTAACCCTATGTAACCCTATGTAACCCTATGTAACCCTATGTAATCCTATGTAACCCTATGTAATCCTATGTAACCCTATGTAATCCTATGTAACCCTATGTAACCCTATGTAACCCTATGTAACCCTATATAATAAAAGCCTAATATGCAAATCAACCAAATGGTAGAACGACGGGTCGCTATGACACACACTGACCACCAGGGGCAGACACTCAGCACAGGAGCTGCCCTGAGCTCATAGGCCCCAGGCCAGCCAAGGCGGGTGCCAGGGGGTGCCCAGCACCCTGCCAGCAACTCTGCAGATCAGTCCTGATGGGGCCAGGCCAAGGGACTCTCCTGTGTCTGCACTCCGTGCGCCAGGCCTCTAGTGATAATCACAGACAGCGGCAGCCGGCACGCTGCCTCCCCGGGTTCGAGGTCTTCACCTCGGGAGGTGAGGGGGCACCGGGCAGCCTCGGAGACCTGCTCCCAGAGCCAGCCGCAGCAGGACCCAAGACTGTCCAAGGCTGATGGCCACGCCACCAAGATCAGAGCCGACCTCGGGCCCAGGCCACCTCCAAGGCTGTGCCCGGGACCCCGTCCACCGTGCGGCCCCCACGCCCTGGGCTCCATCTCAGAGGCAATGGATCCGGGCAGATCCCAAACCATCCAGACAGATCCCAAACTATCCAGGCAGATCCCAAACGATCCAGGCAGATCCCAAACGATCCAGGCAGATCCCAAACCATCCGGGCAGATCCCAAACGATCCAGGCAGTTTCTCAGGAGCCAGTTGCATCCCCAAGGGGACCTGGTCCCGCCCGCCCTGCCCCTGACGCTGCCCAGCACACGGGAGAGCGCTCGGCGGGCACCGCACCCGGCCCTGCGGGGAGACCCCGCCTGCTGGGTGCAGCGAGCTCTGCGCCCACAGGCTCTGCGCCCACAGGCTCTGCGCCACAGGCACCCGCCTCCCTGCGCCTCGGGGCTCTCACCTGGGCGGGGAGAAGGCGAGGTGACGCCCCGAGGGGAGAGG